GACGACGCCGAGGAGGATGAAGAGTTTCCGGAGCTCGACCCCGACATGCACGCCGACCCCGAGCACCGTTGGGACATCTCGACGATGACGGTGAAGGAGGCGTTGGCGAGCTGGAAGGGCCCGACGGTGAAGGCCGCCATGGAGGAGGAGATCCGTAGCCTCATCAACATGGGCACTTGGGAGCTGGTCGAACGCCTGCCGGGAGTGAACATCATGAAGAACCGGTGGGTGTTGACGACGAAGTACCACGTCGACGACACCGTCGAGCGCGAGAAGGCGAGGCTGGTCGTGAAGGGCTTCACCCAGGTGTATGGTGCCGACTACGACGAGACGTTCGCGCCGGTTGGCAGTTACGTCACTCTGACGATCTTCCTCAGCATCGTCGCCGTCCTCAACCTCAACCTGATGCAGCTCGACATGAAGAACGCCTTCCTGCAGAGCAAGCTCGACCGGGTGCTCTACATGTCCCAGCCGGACTACTTCAACGACGGAACCGACCGGGTGTGCAAGCTGCTGAAGAGCCTGTACGGCCTGAAGCAGTCGCCGCTGCTGTGGTACTTGGCACTCAATGACGTGCTGGTCGACGCTGGTTGGAAGAAGAGCCAGGTCGACGAGGCTCTGTACTTCAAGGTCGGCGACGACGGAGTGGCCTGCTGGGTGCTGGTCTACGTCGACGACCTGCTCGCCGCCAGCAGCAGCACCGACATGCTGAAGGAGCTGAAGGGGCTACTGGAGTCCGCCTTCGAGCTGCGTGAGATCTCGCCGGTGCAAAAGTACCTCGGGCTGGAGATCGTCCGCGACCGGTCGGCGGGGAAGCTGTGGCTGCACCAGCAGGGCTACGCCGACAAGCTGCGTAGGTGCTTCATCGACGAGGAGCAGACTGGGCGCACTCCGAAGACGCCGGTCTCGGTCGACGCCTACGCCGAGCTCACCTTCGACGACGAGGAGGCACAGGAGCGACAGGAGGAGGAATACCGGCAGAAGGTCGGCTCGCTGCAGTTCGCGGCGACGACGACGAGGCCAGACATCGCCTTCGCCTGCAGCAAGCTGGGGAGCGGCCTCACGGTGAGGAGCGACCAGCACTGGCGCGAGGTCGACCGCTGCCTCACCTACCTCGCCAACACTCGTGACACCGCCCTGGAGTTCGGCGGTGGACCTGGGTCGCTGGAGCTGGTCGGCTACGTGGACGCCGACGACGCCGGTGACAAGCAAAACAGGACGAGCACGGGCGGCTACGTGTTCGTCTATGGAGGGGCCGCAGTCTCCTGGTCGAGCCAGCGCATCAAGTGCGCGACGTTGTCGTCGACCGAGTTGGAGTACGTGGCGGCCACCGAAGCCGGCAAGGAGGGACGTCGACTTCGCTTCCTCCTTGCAGAGTTCCAGCAGCTGGATGCTGGGAAGCCGACTATCCTTCGGGTGGACAACAAGTCGGCCATCACAGTCGCCGAGGGCATGGGGTTGACAGGCAACCTCAAGCACATGGAGCGGCGACAGGCCTGGCTGCAGCACATGGTGAGGCGCGGGAAGTTCTCGCTGAGGTACATCCCGACCATCGAACAGCCGGCCGACTTCCTTACGAAGGCGCTGCACTATCCTATCTTCAACCGGTGCTCCGTCGCCATCGGCCAGGTGCGCTTGGCCGACGTGGGCGACGAAGATGACGACGTGCAGCAGTAGGTGCCATGCCCTCTTGCATGGCTGGTGCGGTGGACGACGTGCTGTGTGTTGGGTGCACGTCGACGAGCTATTCTCTGAGCAGTGATGCCGTGTGGGCTGGGGGCCCAAGCGTGAACGCGGCAGGGGAGTGTCAACGGGAGTTGTTGTTGGCCCCGTCCTCGCTTGGGTGGAGCCGACTTCGTGGTTGGGTGTACGGGAGGTACAGCCGACTTGCAGCAGTGGTCGACGGGGTTGGTCGACTTGCACGGGGCCACTGCAATGCTGCCGACTTGGGAAGCCGGCGGCCGACTTCAACTGGTGGTCGGCGATGTGGCACGTCGACCTGGAAGTCGGCGCCGACTTGCAAGGTCACCGACTTGCAAGGTCGCCGACTTGCAAGGTCACCGACTTGCAAGGTCACCGACTTGCAAGGTCACCGACTTGCAAGGTCACCGACTTCCAAGGTCACCGACTTGCAAGGTCGCCGACTTGCAAGGTCGCCGACTTGCAAGGTCGCCGACTTGGGAGGTCGCCGACTTCAAGAGGTCGGCCCGGAAGTTGGCGCCGACTTCAGGGAGGTCGACCTGGGAAGTCGACCTGCGGAGGGCGTCGACTTGGTGACGCCGACTTCGGGTAGCCGACTTGGGTGGTCGGCTGACGACTGTGCTGGTCGACGTGGAGCTGGTCGACCAGGAGTGACGTCGACCTGGAGCTGGTCGACCAGGGGTGTGGTCGATTGGAGGTGGCCGTCGACTTGGGAGGTCGACGGGCACATACAGGAGCACCTGGTCGACGTGGTTGCCCGGTCGACCAGGTTACCTGGGTGACGAGGTTCTGCGGAAGAGTGCGACGGTCGCCCAGGCGATGTTGGCGAGACTGACCTCGGTGGTGGTATCCCGAGGTCGACGTGGCGGATCAGGTGGAGTCGTCAGCACGAGGATGACTTGGTGTGTGCGTTGTGCAGGTGACAAGACTCAGCACGCCAATCATCTGCGAGCACCTGCGAAGCTGGTGCGCTGCTGTTCTGCGGGAGCAACGCTGGCACGCCGTCGACCTGCAGCGTTGGCACGCCGTCAACTTTGCACTGCTGGAACGCGGCCGACCAAGTCGTGCTGGAACGCAGTCGACCATGCTGCGCTGGCAGTCGACCGACCTGAATGCTAGCTCTGATGTAGTCTTGTCTTGCCAACCTGATTGTACCATTGTTGTCAACTTTCTCTAGTGAAACTCTTGCCAACTTGCCCCGTGAACTAGCAAGCAGTGTGTGCACTAGGAAAACGACGAAGGACCAACGAATGCAGAGATCACACGAGCACCCGTGCCTAGCCCGTAGTCTAGCTCCCGTTGTAGTAGTTATCTCCGCAACCAGGTGTCGTGGTTGAGGAGGTGTAGTGGGGTTGTTCTTGTGAGGTACCCAACTCGGCGAGAGATGCAGCATGTGAGCAACATAGATGCTATCTGTGGGTCTAGTCGTTCGATCAAAGGCAGCGGCGTGGTCATGGCCTCTAGCTGGGCGGCTAGGAAGGCGGCGGCGCCTTCGGATGTACCTAGGAAGCTGCCTAGAAGTTTAACGCCCGCTTCACTTGTCGGTACCCCTGGCGGCAGCTGCACTGTACTGTCTATCGGCATGCTGCTCCACGCGGCGCATTTCCCGGGATTGTGTTGCAAACCCACTTGGGCCAGCTGGCTAGTGAAGTGAGAGAAGGCTGCGACGGCTTCACGTGGGTCACATAAGAAGCTTACGCCATCGGCGTTATCTAGGCACAGCACACCGGGGTGCAATGTTGCTGTTGCTCTCAAGGCAGGATGAATCCCTGCCGCAAAAAGAAGTGGGCCTAAGGGGTCTCCCTGCCGGACCCCTCGCTCACTGAATAATGGTGGGCTGTTGAAGTTGGCATCCAGAAACAGCGGGGATGGGTTGCCGTAGGTCAGTTTCACTAAGGGCAGTAGTGGTGATAGGGCGGGGTCCTGTAGCGCTGTCACTATGGCTTGTCGTGAGATGCTGTTGAAGGCGTTGGAAATGTCAGTTTGCAGGATGAGGCAGTTGGGGTGATTGTCGCTGTATGCGCGTGCACTGTGTATGATCGCCTCTGCTCCCCCTGGCACTGCTACTCCGTACTGCAGCGGAAGAAAATAGCCGCGCGCCGCCTCGCCCAAGGTTGTCAGTGCGGCCTTTGCCGCCTGGCGCGTCAGGCATTCACCAATTGTTATTGGGCGTGCCCCCCCTTCAGGTTTGGCTAAGGCAATCAGGTGGGAGGATGTGAGTAATTCCGCGACTTGATGTGGCAGGTTTCCTTTTAGAATCGTATTAACCAAGGCGTGCAGATGGGTGGAGACGGATGCGTTTGTCACTGACGCATCGCGTAAGTGTTCAAATGTCATTCCGCTCGGGCCGGCCCTCACGCCATTCTCGCATCGGCTGAGCAACTTCGAAAAATCCGCGTATGCAATCTCCAGGTCGACAGTGTCTGTGTTGACCGGCCAGGTCAAAGGGTCAGGGTCGGCTGGTGGGTGCTTGCTTCGGAGTTCGTCCAGGATTTCTGGACTGGGTGTACAGACTGGCGTTGACTCGAGCGCCATCACGACTCGGCGCAAGCTCCCCTTTTTCGCCAGGCCCTCTGCTCTGCAGATGGTTCCCACGTCGTCTGACTGGTGACGTGGCGGGGGTGGTGTATTGACTGCTTCCACCGCGTCCAAGTACAGCTGTTGCCACTCGCCACGTTGAAATGCTCGGAGGCGGGCTTTGATTTTGGGCCAATCAGGGCGTCTTGGCGAGGCTTGTCGCAGTGTAAGGCGAGGGAGAAATAAGAGTAACTTCCATCCCGCGATGGAGTCAAGGCTTCGCGAAAGGTGTAGAAGAGGTGTCAGTACCACGAGCGAGAATATCTCGCACAAATTTGGCGGTAGCCGACGTAACAGCGTGGGTTGGCGACTATCGCAGAGTAGCGAAATATCCCAGTCTGCCACTTCGGCAAACTTGTCAGCCTGTCGCGACAGCTCCTCTGGCGAAAAGTAGCTGGGAATTTGAGCCTGGCGGGCCTCACTCGCCTGCCCCCTCGCGGTCCGATTTCCACGACCGCAGCCCGTACCACGAGTTGAAGGCGGGGTTGGAATTGTGGCCGTCCGATCGGCATCCTGCGGTCCCCGTATGGTTCCTGATTGCAGAGGCGGTCCTCTCTGGCTTCCTCCACCTCGTCTTGACAACCGCTCTATCTCCTCCTCGTCTTCCTCCTCGCTACTGCTGCTCGGCGCTTGTGCCTCCTCCCTATAAGAGGGGTCATTTCGCTCGTCCAGATCAGCATTCTCACCGAGCCGTGTTAAAGCCCTTCGTGTCGCCGCCTGGAATGCGTTCTCCGGTCCACCCCCAACTCCCCGTCCTTCACGGCGTCCTGCCCCTTGTCTCCTTCCGCCTCGCGATGGTGATTGCTGGCGACCCGTGGCCATCGCCAAAGCCCGCTGCCTCTGCGTCAAAGGTGAGCGGAAGGTCACCGCCGGTGTCTGCCTCGGGGAGTGCTGCAATGAAGCCGCCAGTCCCCCCTGCCCCGAAGCCAGCGCCCTCTGTCGCTGGTGTCTCTGCGAGTCCGACTCCGGACCTCATGTCAATTGAGGTTCCGGCATCACTCCTGCCTGCCCCGTCTCCCCCTGTTGCTGAGCCGGGCCCTTTTGCGCTCTCCGCTCCTGCTCTGCCGGCTATCCCTGTAAATCCTGCGGCGCCGTCTGCTGTTGCCGATCCTGGTGTTGCGTCGCCCGTGCCTGAACTCCCTGCGGCATCGCCCGCCGTTGATGTCCCTGTTGCACTCGACGTGGCTGTTGGTTCGTCGCCAATGGCGGTGTCCGCCACCACTGGCGGCCCGGGCCCGTTTGTAGCGCCAGCGGGCGCCGTCCAGGCGGCCCCTATTGCTGCACCTGTGGGTCAGCAGCTGGGCCAACGCTCCTCCCGCCCGCATTCTCCTGCGCCTCGTGAGGAGCGGGAGTCGTTGCGGCGCCGTCGTGATTCTCCACGGCGTAACTGTTCGCAGGCGAACTGGCATGCGCAACGTGGCGGTCGTGGGGGGTGGGCGGGAGGTCGCGGTTATGGCGGCGGCGTGGCGTATGTTCAGCCGATCTCCCTTGCGGACGTGCAGCGTGTTGTCTCGGCAGCGATACGCGAGAAGAGGGCAGTGCAGCGCCTTGCTCCTGCTCCAGCGGCTCCTCCTCCGGCCACTCGTCATGTGGCTGCGGCTCCGCCACCTCAGGCTGTTGCCCCGGCTCCCCTTGTCCCTGCTCTGACTCCCTCCGTCCCTGCCGCATCTGCTACCGCACGTGATCGCCGCTTGCGGCTACCGTGGGTTCCTCCAGTGGCGGGACTGGAATTTGTGACTGCGGCAGGTGGAGCGGTGACGGCACAGTACCCGCCTCTGCTGCCTGCTGATCCCGTTCCCCCATCTGCTCTCGATGCACCGATCCTCCCGACCTTGCCTGGGCCTCCTCGCATGGCTGAGGTCCCAGAAGCGAGCCTGGCGCAGTTGTGGCGTCTCTGTGAGGCCCTTCGTGCCATTCACCTGATCCACGTGTACGGTCATGCTGCTCTGTTCCAGGGGAATTCCCTGGATGGAGGCCCTCGGGATGAGTGCCTCGATGCGGCGGATCGGCTCGTCGAGCTCCTGGCGCCCGTGCTGGCTGCGCCCACACGGGGTGTAATTGCGGGTGTTGGGCAGCTTGGAACGGCTGTCCGTGGGTTGAAGCGGGTCCTGCGCGCTGGTACTGGAGACGAAGTGATCGGCGCAAGCGCGGCGGTGGTGCGGGAGCTTCACCGTTCTCAGACTAGGCTTCTTGCAGTTCATGACGCGGATCAATACTAGTATCCGCCGGGGCTTCTTCCCCGGTTGCATTCTCCTGTTGCCCCATTACCGCCCCTTTAGTAATACTCCGGTCTAGCCATGTGTGTATCCCGGTGCTGTAGTTGCTCTTGTTTCGCCTCGTGTGCTTGCCGTCCCCTGCACCAACAGAAAATGGGATGAAGAGGCCCAGAGAGGCCTCTTATATAGCTCACAAAGGAGAGGGCAGAGGGCTAAAGGGAGAGGGCAGAGGCTAGGATCCTCTCTCTCTCTCTCTCTCTCTCTCTCTCTCTCTCTCTCTCTCTCTCTCTCTCTCTCTCTCTCTCTCTCTCTCTCTCAAGCAGTCCTGTATTGATAATGGTCATAGGATACAAGCATGGCATGAGTAGTTTGGCATACATGCTGCCCTAGAAGCATAGGCAATCCTGGCATGCATTGCTCGTACTATTCCTACCTTCCTTGGTACATGGCTGCCTAGGCATGCAAGCACCTATCACTAGGCCCCCATGGTGGCTCAGGCGGCCTTGGTCCTGCCCCGGCTCCTTCTCTCCAGCCTTCTAGACTCCCAGGTCCCACACTTCCTCCACCTCATCTTCCAAGACCTGCCATATGTCCCCCAGGCCTGGCTCCCAAGGGTCAGCCCAGGCCTGGGGGTATGCTGCCTCCGCCGCCCTGTTGGACTTTGCCAGCATGGCGTTGGCTTGGCAGCGCTGCAGCATTACCGACCAGCGTTGTCGGTAGTGCGCAGTCAGCCTGGAGGCCACCGTGGTGAGCCTCCCTTGGCGGTGCTTCTTCTTGGCCGCACTCGTGCCTAAAATGCGGAAGAATTTCTGTGTGTCTCTCGCTAGTCCCCCGTAGGTTTCCACGGCCAGGCCCAGGACCCCCGCGAACTCGGGGCGCTCCTCATACAGCCCCCTTTTGGTTCTGGCAGCATCCTCTGCTTCCCACCCTGGCGCCTTTCTCCCTTGGGTGTCCCGCCTCTGCAGCACTGGGCCGGTCACCGTCACGTCTGTGAGGTAGACCCGACTCCCTGTCACGGAAGACCAGGTCCGCCCGTTTAGGGTTGACTGGGGGCGAAAATCCTGTCGTCTCGTGCAAGGTAGTGAAATCCGCCTCACGTGCCATGCGTAGTGCCGCGTACACCAGCGCGTTGTGGGTGTTGGTGCGGTCCCCCCCATCCGCGCATCTCAGCAGGTGATTCGGCAGGCTGCTGTCTGCTATCTTGGAGCGCCTGCCGCGGCAGGGGCAGTTTTCTGTGACTGGAAGGGAAAGGCCGAGCCTGAAGCCTAGGGCTATGGCGAATTGCCCGGGAGAGAAGGTGAGGTCCGCTCGCGTGGGTATGGCATGCAGCCAGTCTCCTGCCCCCGGCGCCTGCAAGGCTATGAGCCACACCATGTGCCCGTTATCCCCGCCCGGCTTGTCTACCCGGGTGTCCCCTATCAGCTCCGCTGCCCTGTCCAAGTTGACCTCGCGGGATAGCCCCAACTGCAGCCGCCCTTTCCCCCCCTTCTGACGGTGGTGCTCATGTAGGAGTTCCAGTGCCCTTTCTGGTAGCTTGCTTTTGAGGTCCTGCAGGGTCTCCCCTCCCCGTGCCGACACCTCGATGCGTTCTGTAGATACCAGGTCTGCAGCCCGCCGCAGGGGGTGGTCTGGGTGCTCAGGGAGGCCACTCAGCCCAGCCCGCCGAGGCATACTGGAAGGGTCGCCTGCCTCCACACCAGGCTCTGTTTGATCTCCTTCCTCGGCACGTGCAGGTGTGCCGCTTTGAGCGCTGTCCACACCACTCCTTCGCTCCACTCCCGCCACTCTTCTAAGGGCAGCATGTCTGCCGGTGTTCTCCGAAGCAGATATGAGATACGCCTGGATACGCAGTGTGACAGCAACAGTAGGGCGTGCTGCGGGTGGATGCTGCTGATAAGGTCTAGGGGGGCCGCCACCGTGTCTAGGGAAGCTGTGATCATGCGCCTCCCGTATTCCCTTGTTCCTATGGGGCTCCCCAGGACGCGTATGCCGTCTACTGCTGCTACCAGGCCGTCAAGGAGGTCGTCCGGTATGCCTGATGGGCTCCAAGCAGATGATTTCGCGAGGTTGCATTTGAGGCCGCGGCCGGCGAGTTGCCTGGTGATGATCCCCAAGGTGAGTGCCGCTTCCTGCGCCGTCCCTACGATTGTAATGTCATCCGCGTAGGCCATGACCGTGACCGACGGGAAGATGTCAGACGCCACCTGAAGCGCCGGTTGAATAGCTGCCGCGAAAAGCATGGGGCCTAATGGGTCTCCTTGACGGACCCCGCGCGCGCTCTCGATGTGTGGTGCCGCGAAGCCGTGATCCAGTAGTAGGCAGGAGGGTGTGCCGTACAGCGTACGCACTAGTGGTATGACGCGGCTGAGTCCAGAGAAATGCAGTGATTCGAAAAAACCGGCGCGTTCAACCGAGTTAAAGGCGTTTTCGATATCTAACTGCAGCGCCACTCGCTTTGGATCCTCAGCTACGAGCGCGCGCACCGTGTGAATAATACATTCGGCGCCTCCAGGTACTGCCACTCCGAATTGTACCGGGAGGAAGTATTCTCGGATGGGCGTGCTTAGTTCCCTAAGCGCTGCCTTAGCTGTGAGTCGTAGTATCGCTTCTCCTATGGCTATGGGTCTGACACCTCCGTCCGGTTTCTCCAGAGCTACTAGTCTAGATGGTAGCAAAAGCTCCGTCAGTTCCGCTGGCAGGTGGGTGCTAAGGACGTGGCTGACGACGCCGTGCAGGTAAGAGAATACTTCATTGTTGGTGAGCGCGGGGTCTCGAAGGTGCTCGAAACAGGTGCCTGAGGGTCCCGCTCCAATTCCGTTGGGGCATTTCGCCAGTACTTCGCGAAAGGTCTCTGCTGACGTTGCGAGGTTGCTGGAGGCGAATCCTGTTACCCAGTTCGGGATTTCACTCCCTGCCCCAGGGTGCTTCGCTTTTAATGCTTCCAGGGTCGCATTTGATGGTTCTGCGAGTGGCGAAGTTTGTAACGCTGCTGCTGCTTTTGCCAGATTCGCCTTGCGCACGAGCCCCTCCGCCCTCGCGCAGATGCCCTCTGGGTCCGGCTGGTGACGACTCGGTTGGGAGTTCTGGGGTATGGTGCAGGCCTGGGAGTACAGTAAGTCCCACTTTTCCAACTTGAACTGGTCCAGCCTTGTCGCCACCTCGCTCCACCTGTTTCCAGGTGCGTTCCCAATGTTAGCTCTCAGTGTGAGTCGGGGCAGGAATAGCAACATTCGCCAGGCTCCTTGGCAGGTCGGGTTCTTGGAAAGCCGCAGCAGGGGAATCGTGAGGCAGTAGCTGTAGATTCCGAGAATGTTGGGGGGAAGCTTCCGACCTAGGAAGGGCTGGGCACTGTTGCGTAGAGGTGACAGGTCCCACTCCTTCACCTTCTGCCACGTGGCCTCGTCATCCGCGATATCTGCTGCTGAGCGCTCTCTATTTGCTGCCCTCGCGCTAGCTTGTGCACTTGATTCGGCCTCCTGGGCTGGTTGTGGGCCACGCGGCCTCCTCTGTCCCTGGTTTGCGCCTGTATTCGGGATCCCCTCCTCTGCGTCGAGGGAGATATCTTCAGAATCCCTCTCCTCCGATTCGATATATTCCCCATCACTTCCTTCATCCTCACCCCTCATTGGGTTTGCGTTCTGTCTTGTGCCAGTCCGCTCCGGCCTTCCGTGTCTTTCCCGCCAGTCCCCCGATCTGGCCTTTTCCCTTGCTACCGCTCGTACCAAGTTTCCCAGGCCTCCTCCCCTGCCTCGGCCCCTCCCTCGCACTCCTCGCGCTCCTCGCGCTGCCGCCCCAGGCGCCACGGTTTCCGGCGGTCGACCTTCAGCTCTCCGGTTGGCCTGCTCCCGCAGGGCCTGCTGCCGGTTCGTTCCCCCTTGGTGGCGGCTGCGTCTCGCCGCGGCCCTCCTCTCCTCTGCATCTTCGGCGGCGCTCTCCCTCTCCTCCTGCGCCTCCGCCTCTTCTTCCGCGATCTCCAGCGGTGATGACTGGTCGGCGCCGCCCTCCACCTCGGCGACTGCCTGGGGCGGATCTGCCTGATGCGTCCAACCCACAAGGGGCCCAGGTCGGGCAGGTGCCAGCCCTTCTCCGAGCCGCCGCTGATGTTGTTGCGGCCGCGGCTTCTGGCGGCGGTTCCTCTCAGGCACGCGCCGGTTCGTCTGCGCTTCGTGAGCCGATTTATCGGTCTCCCCGCGGGCGGACTCATCCGCATCTAAGGGCCCGGGGTCAATCCTTCCGCCGCCGCCGCCCTCCCCGGCCATCTCCGTCGCTTGCCTTGCAGTCGGCGCGATCCTTGGTTCAGGCCCCATGGTCGCAGGTGCCACTGGCGCCTCACTCGCAACCATCGACGCAGCCCCTGCCGCCTCGACCGTTGCCGTCGCTGGCTTCTTCTTCGTCACAGCAGCAGCCTTTGTCTGCGCCGGCGGCCCTGTTATCCTCCCCCTCGGTGGCGCCGCCCGGGGCTGAGCCGGTGGCGCCGTCTGCGTCTTCCGGCCCGAGTTGCTTGCCGCCGCAGCCGCCGCCGACGTGGGCCTCTCTTCTAGCGCCTCAGACGCCGCAGGCCCAGCTGCAGGTCTCTCAGTGTCCCGCCGCTAACCTCTCATCCTCCGCAGATTCAGCCGCCTCCTGCGGCTCAGCCGCCGTCTCTGCCGCCGGTTCCCCACCCACCGGTTCCTCCGCCTCAGGGGCCTCCCTCTCAGCCGGCGCAGGCCTCCCTATGTCCTCCGTCTGCCCTCCCTCAATCTCAGCCGCCCTTGCAGCCTCCTGTGGTGCCGCCGCCGCCCCCCCCTGTGGGGCCTCAGTCTCTGCCGCCGCCGGTACCTTCTCCCCTCCCCCCTCCTCCTCCTCCCCGTTTATCGCCATCGGCGCCTCCTGGTCCGCCTGCTGATCCCTGGGGGGTGTCGTGGTCTCGTCGCCCGCGTGATGGTGGTTGGGGCCCTCCCTGGTGCGCTTCTCCTGCTGAGGTGGCGTATCCCGCCCCTGATTCGCGGCTGTTGCAGTTTTGCCGTTGTGTGGCTGGCGTGGCTGCTGTGTTGGAGCAGCTCCATCATGCTCTTCAGACGCGGGAGATTGTCCAGCGCGATCCCGAATTTGGCGAGCTGCAGCTGGCGCACGTGCGCGCGGCGGTGGCTGGCGCACTGTGGGAGGTGTTGCGTTTGCCGCTGGAGCCTGTGGATCCTGTACTGGACGAAGGTCCTGGCGCCGCGGCCTTCCGGAGGGTAGCCAAGGCTGCTGAGTCGGCGCCTTTGGAGGTGGTCCCTGCGATCTCGTCCTTGCTCCGCTGGCTTGAGCAGAGGGTGCGTCAGGTTTAGGCGGCTTCGCCTTTGTCACCTTGGTTGTGGGCTTTTTCCTCCCCATGACTGGGGGCTTGCCTGTTGTTTGACTCTGGGCAGCCTTAGTTGAGCCCTTGGAGGAACCAAGCTCACCAGAGAATAGTGGCAGGAATGAGGCAGTAGGGGAGGCTATATGTGCTCATGTACTCCTTATAGGTCAGCTGCAGGGAATACACTAGGGACAAGAGGCTACGAAAGCCTTAAATCTATGCTATGCTAAGGCTAAGCTAAGCTAGAGAGGTTAGAGAGACTAAGGAAAGGGCCTAGTGCCTCTCTCTCTCTCTCTCTCTCTCTCTCTCTCTCTCTCTCTCTCTCTCTCTCTCTCTCTCTCTCTCTCTCTCTCTCTCTCCTCTCTCCTCTCTCTCCCGCTCGGTTAGGAGAGCAAACGAACCAGGAACTGAATAATGAGGCTCTAGGACTAGATCCTAGGGCCTTTATACTAGGCTGGAGAGGGCTGGAGAGGCTAAGGACTAGGCCTCTCTCTCTCTCTCAAGCGGTCGTGCATTGATGTTGATGATAAGGTACAGGCATGCAGGTGTGGGTATTGGCCGGTAGGCTATCCTAGGCAAGCAACCTGGTGGGTGGCCGAGCCAGCAAGTAAGCAAACAAACAGACAAATTGCATGGATACCACTAAGCAAACGAGACCAGAGCTTGAACTGCCGCATGCAGCCCTCAGGTCACCCAGAATCTCCCCACCTGCTATACCCCACTCCTTCCCCTGCCCTGTCACACTCCTCCTCCACGCCTGCTACCCCGTCCCTCTTCCCCCCGGCTTCTACACCCCTGCAAGGTCATCGTCAAGCACCTGCCTCAGGTCTCCTAGGCTCGGTTCCCAGGGGTCCATGGGTGCTTGTGGGAAAGCCGCTTCCGCCGCCATGTTGGACTTGTTGAGGAACGAGATGGCCTGGGAGCGCTACAGCATGACCGACCAGCGCTGTCGGTAGTGTGCATTGAGCCTAGAGGCCGTTGTAGTGAGGGGCCCCTGCCGAAACTTCTTCCTAGCTGCCTCCACTGCCAACAGACGGAGAAACTGCACCGTGTCCATCGCTAAAGCCCCATAGGTCTCCACAGCTAGCCCAAAGAAACCGGCATAGTCTGGGCGGCCTTCATACAGGCGGTGCTTCTTCTCCGAGGCCTCCCTGGCCGCCCACCCTGGCGGCTTCCGCACCCTAGGATCTCTGTTCTGGAGCACTGGGTCCGTCACCGTGACATCATTGACCCAAGTCTCCGCCGACTCCTTGTCCTGAAAGGCCAAATCTGCACGCTTGCGGAGGACAGGTGGTGAAAACACCGAGGTTTCGTAGAAGGTGTTGAAACCCGCCTCCCTTGTCATCCTAAGGGCCGTGTAGACTAGGGCATTGTGTGTCCGGACCACGTCACCTCCTTCTCCGCACCGCAGCAGATGGTTTGCAAGGCTCATGTCACTGATTTTCGAGTTCGCTCGCTTGCAGGGGCAATTTTCTGTCACCGACAGAGCCATCCCGAGGCGGAAGCCGAGTGCTAACGAGAACTGACCAGGGGCAAATGTAAGGTCAGATCTCGTCGGCACTGCGTGAAGCCAGTCTCCAGCTCCCACCCCTTTCAGGCTAACTAGCCTGACCCCGTGTCTCTGTTCATCCCCTGGCTTATCTACCAGAGTGTCGGCTAACAGCTCCCTTGCTCTCGCCGTGTTGATGAGCTTGGAGAGAAGCAGCTGCAGGTTTCCCTGCCCCTGCGGTCCCTCCCCGTAGGCTTGCAGGGCTACCTTTGCCTCCACCGACAGCCCCTCCTCCAGCATCACGATCGTGTTCACCACCGGCGGTGGTGGGGCCCAATCCCGCGAGAGTAAAGTCACCGCGCACGCAAGCAGGTCCGAATCAGGAAGCTTCATCTGTTGCAGGAGCTGTTGAGACGCTGTCAGCGAGGCGATGTATGCTGCTGGGGCCTCGGAGATTGGGTCGATGATGCTCAACCCTCCGAGGCGGATTGGCAGGGTCGCTTGTCGCCACAGGAGACTCTGTTCCAGTTCACTTGAGGGGATCCTCAGTTTGGCCGCTGTAAGCGCTGCGCCCAGCAGTGACTCGCTCCACGCCCTCCATTCCTCACGCTCTAATGTGCCGCTCGGTGTAGTCCGGAGCAGGTACGAGATCCTGCGGGAAATGCTGCGGTTGAGCAGGAGTAGTGCGTGTTGCGGGTGGAGTTGCGCAATCAAGGGGACCGGTGCCGAAGCTTTGGTGAGCGCCTGCTGAACCTGGGCAGTGCAAGATGCTGGAGTGCCAATCGGGCTGCCCAGCACTTTGATACCGTCTGCGTTCACTGTTAGGCCGTGCGGCAGCTCTGTCTGTCCGTCTTCGTCCTCCCCCGGTCCCCATGCATATGACTTCTCAATGTTGCAACGGAGTCCACACTTCACGAGCTCCGTAACGATGATGTCGAAGGCTGAAAATGCAATCTCACACGGCCCTACCACGGTGATGTCGTCGGCATAGGCTACGATGGCAGCTCCTGGGTGAGTTGATGCGGCACACATTAGGATCGGCTGGATTGCTGCTGCAAATAGGAGCGGCCCGAGTGGATCGCCTTGACGCACACCTCTGGAGCTCAAGATGTGGTCCACCCCTAGGGCCGGATCGACCAGGAGTCGTGTTGGGGAGTCGTAGAGCATGCCTACGAGCGGCAGTAGCTGATGCAAGTCTGAAATCTGTAGAGCCGTGAAGAAGGCCTCCCGCTCGACCGAGTTGAAAGCATTCTCTACATCGAGCTGGAGGTCTATATGATTCTCGTTCTCCCGAAGCAGCGCGTGGACCGTGTGTATCACGCACTCGGCTCCACCTGGTACAGAGACGCCGTACTGGACGGGGAGAAAAAAATTGCGAATAGCCAGTGCCAGTTCGCTCAGTACCCCCTTGGCAGCTACCCTAAGCAGGGACTCTCCGATCGCAATGGGCCTTACGCCGCCTCCTGGCTTCTCTAGTGCTATCAAGCGGGACGGTAGGATTAAGTCCTGTACTGCCTGGGTTTGCTCGCCGTTGAGGAGCTGGCGGATAACCTGGGTGAGGAGGAGCAGAACTTCCTCGCTGCAGTGAGCCGGGTCCTTGAGATGCTCAAAACAGGTGCCCGATGGGCCAGCGCCTACCCCATTCGGACACTTCGCGAGGATTTCGCGAACGTCGTCAGGGGTCACAGATACTGACGATGCAGACGAGCCAGCCGTGCTGGTAACCCAACTTGGGATAGGTGTTTCACCCATGGGGTGTTTCGATCGTAGCGCCGCAAGAGTAGTTGGTGTTGCTTCCGCTAGCGCAGCCACTGCTTTGGAAATGTTCGCTTTTTTAATCAGACCTTCTGCCCTCGCACACAGGCCCGTGTCATCTGGTTGGTGTCTAGACGGGGCCTCAGTAACGGGTATAGCGCAGGCTTCACTGTAGAGGTCTACCAGGTCTCCAAGCCTGAAGTGGTGTAACCTCGTCTCGATTTTGATCCAACGGTTTCCTTCAACCGGTTCCGGTAGGGGTCGAAGGGTCAGGCGTGGTAGGAACTGCAGCACCGTCCAGGCTCCTAAGCAGTCAAGGTTCTTAGCTAAACGCAGAAGAGGCGCCAGAAGGCACAGCGTGTAATTCTCCAGGATTTTCGGGGGCATACGGCGGACAAGGAAGGGCTGCTCCATCCGCTGGAGTGGTGTGACATCCCATGTGCTGGCAAGGTGCCAGATGCTCTCGTCCTCTGCCAGCTCAGCTGGGGATTTTTCGGATGGCTGTGCAGCCCCTTCTGCCGTCGCCCCCGCTCCCGTGTTGACGGGTTGTGGCATACCACCATCGCTGGCCCTTCTCCCCTGTCCCCTACTCACTGCATGGCCATTCTCATCTTCGCCTAGGGATACGTCATCCGATGCTTCTGACCCAGACGGGATAAATTCACTCCTGTTCTGTGATTCGTCAGAAGCAGCTTCCTCCCTATTGGCTGGTGCCGGTAGCTGTTCTGGGCGGTCGTGACGCTCCCGCCACGTCCCTGAACGCACGATCGCCGTCTCTCCGCCCAGCAGCGGAGCTCGTCCCCCCCTACCAGTGCCTCTTCCGCCTCTTCCCCCGCGCGGCACTGCAGGGGGTCCTGTGTTCCCACCGCCTCTTGCGCCGCCCTGCGCGGGCACTGGGGCTCTGCCGGCCGGGATCCAAGGGGTTGCTGCTGTCGCCTGCCCCACAGTCGTCGGCCTACCCCATACAATTCTGCGTCCGCGCGTCGCGCTCCTTGTCTCACGGTGAGATCTGGGCTAGGCTGGGGGGGCTTGCCCCGTTGTTTGACGTGTTATACGTGTTGTGTCTGGTTCCATATGTTGCCGGTTCAGAAGTTCTTGGGCTGCCATTGGCTGATCCTGATGACCTCCTTCCCCTTGGGCCCCCTCATTCACCGCAGATGACGATGACCGCTCTTGCTCTTGTGGCGACTGCGCTTGCAGAAGCGAGCCCAGGAGGGGTCCCGGGCGACCAGGCGCCAGCGTTGCTCCGAGCCGCCGCGGTGCTGGTCGGGCGCGAATCCTCACAGTCCTCCCACGGGCGGCGTGAGCGACGTCACGGCTCTCAAGGCCCCGTGTACCACGCACCCCCTGGGCGTGCTCCTGCGTCTCTCCGTCCTTGGCAGCGGCAGGCGTTTTGGCGCACGCAGCGGCCGCCAAAGCACCCGCCACGCGCTGGTCCTCGTGTTGCACTTCAGCCGCTGGTGGTCCCACCGTCGTCGTCGCTTCTTCCGCCTGCTCTAAGTCCCCAGGCGTCGTCCCAGTCGCAGCCGCCGCTGTCCCTGTTGTCACTGGTGGCGGAGCCTGCCGCTCCGCCGACGCAGCCGCAGTTGCAGCCACAGGTATCGGTGTCGCAGCCGCCATTGTGTCCGCCGTCCGTCCCTGCTCACCCGCTAGCTCCTGCTCCTCCGCCTGTGGCGGTGCCCCAGCGTCCATGGCAGCCGGCGAAGCTGAGCCGTCGCCAGAGGCAGCGGCAGTCCCATCAGCCGCCAGCGCCTCTGCTTCCTCCCCTGGTACGACCTCCCCCAGTACAGCAACACCAGCCTCAACCGGCTCTTCAGCAGCAACCATCCGTGGTGCCGCCAGTGTTACAGGCTCTGTCTGCGGGGCCTCCTCCTGCTCCTGGGCTTGCTCCACCCGCTCCCCCCCTTGTCCAACCCCCTCCGCAGGGCGCATATCCATAGCTCTTCCTGGGGGCGCGCCAGATTCCGATACCATCGGAGCTCCTGGCAACTCCCCCGCCACCTGCTGCGCCTGCTGCCGGCCCTGGAGGGTCTCTTAATGGGCGATGGAGTCTGTTGGGCGAGCTCCCGCCCACTGAGCGGCTTCGTCGCGTCGAGCGGCGCGTAACGCACGTGGCGTCTTCCCTGGGTGTGGTGGCAGCAGCGCTTGACCAACTGCAGTCTTGCATGGCCCGCAACTCCGTTGTTTGCCCGCCGCTGTCGCAGAAGGAGCGGGCGAGTGTGTTGGCGGCATCGAAGGAGTTGGAGGCGTTGCTCCCACTGATGGGCCTTGCGGAAGGCTCCCCCGGTGCAGGTTCTGGTCCTGGGCCTTCCGCTGTTCGTTCGCTGGCTGCTTCCGCCCGGCGAGCCCCACGCGAACTTGTACCCGCTGCCGCCTCATTGTTGCGCTGGCTAGACGGACGGCTGTTTTGGATCCTTGCCGAGTAGCGGCATCCTTCCCTTTGCCGGCCTGCTTGTCACTTGGCACGGTCCTGGAAATCCCCATGGCGTTGTAGTCACGCCTGGGGGTGTTGTTCCTGTGGCTGTTGCTACTGCCTCATATTGTATGGGCTCTTGGTATAGTGTTGTCCCTTCCCTTCTCCTTGTCACACCTCACGCGCGGCCGAAGGCCGCGCTGGCGAGCGGCGGCCGCCGAAGGCGGCCGGCGGGAGCCACCGGTTTATGGAGAGTGAAATGAACTCACCAATGAAGAATGAGCCCCATGGGTAGAGAACCAGAGGCTTTATACTAGGGGAACACTGCTGAGAATGGCTAAGGACTAAGGACTAGGCTAGAGAGTCTAAAAACGGCTAAGGACTAGCCCCAAACCATCTCTCTCTCTCTCTCTCTCTCTCTCTCTCTCTCTCTCTCTCTCTCTCTCTCTCTCTCTCTCTCTCTCTCTCTAATGGTCCGTGTATTGATATATCAAAGGGATACAAGCATGCAGGGTATAGATGCTAGAGATGAGAACAAGCAAGCAAAGAAAAAAAGAAGCAAACTACTATCTATCCACCAATAACCGCCTATCTACACCTCCATGAGAGGCTCTAGTACTGCACAACTGTCCCCAAGGTGGAACTCTCCCTGTACCCCCCCCACAGGGGGATTTTCCGCTACTGCCGCCTGGCTGGACTTAATAAGGTAACCTACTGACTGCGCTCTTTGCAGAGCACAGGACCACCGCTGCCTGAAGAGATGGAGGAACCGGGCTGCATGGAATGAGTGTGGTTGGGCGTTGAAGTGTCGCCTAGCAGCTGTTTCCGCCAAGAGCTTCAAGAATTGTGGGACCTCGGCACACGGGCACCCGTATGTCTCAACTGCCAAGGGGAAGAAGGTAACGGTGTCGGGGCGGCTGGCGTAATGGCTGATTTTCTTGTCGGCCTGCTCCCTTGCCGCCCATCCCCTCCCCTTTATGGCGAGTGGGTCCCTGGCGCTGATCGGGTCCGTAATGGTGACATCCTCTCGAGTGTTACGTTTTGACGACGAGGGCCGCCCGGTCAACTTTAGCACGTGGCTTACCCATGCCCAACGCCACCTTAGGAGTCTACGCCAGGATGGCGCCAATCTCTTTGCTCATGCGTCTGGAACACTCCAGGCCGCTCCGCACCCTAGTCCCCTGCCTACTGCGACTCCTCCGACCACTGATTAGCGGGCTGAGTACGATAGGCTGCTCTTGGCGCGTGACGTTTGGGAGTCTCGCGACGCCGCTGCCTGCAAGGCCCTCACCGAGACTTCTCCCAGTGCGACTCGGCAAAGGACCTGTACGACGCTATTGTTGCTCATTACTCCACCCCTCCCTCAGCCACCTCCTCATGCCCTTTGTGTTCCCTAACTTGGGCTTGTTTGAGACTGTCTCCGATCTGGTCACCCACCTCCGCTCTCTTGACACTAGCTTTTGTGCCGCCTGCATCGAGGAACAGCTGAAACTTGCCCCACCGCCTATGTGGCTCACCCTCCACTGGTTAGTCAATCGCCTCCCTGACCGCCTCTCCTCTGGCTACGGCGTGCTTCTCCTAAAGCACCCCACTGAGCTCACTATCGATCTTCTTGAGTCCACCCTCACTAAGTTCGAGAGCAACCTCCTCACTGTTGCTGCTTCCACTAAAGCAGTGCCTCCCTGTCTCTTTGACGAGTGCGCTGCACCCCAGTTTCCCACGTTCACTGCTTCTCTTGCCACTGCTGTGTTGCCTAGTTCTGGGGAGACTGCAGTTGTTTCTATCACTGGTGGGCAAAAAGGGGGCAAAGGGAGTAGGAGAGGGGGGAAGGGTGGTGGCGGTGGTGGTAGCGGAGGTAGTGGCGGTGGTGGTAGTGGAGGTGATGGCGGCGGTGGTGTTTGGAGGTGGTGGCGGCGGTCCTAGTGCGCCTAGTAGAGGAGGCTCTGGAGGTGGTGCTGGGCTTGCGGGTCTGATGAGAGGAGGTGCTAGGGCAGTTGCTTGGTACACAGCACAGCAGTGATAACAGTCCCAGCAGTAGCAGCCACACCATTGACAGCCGCAGCAGCAGGTTCAGCTGCAGGTGTAGCAACATTCTTAGTAGTGGGGAACTAGTGGGTTAGGGAGCGCTGGTCGTGGCGGTGGTCCACCAAGCTGGGCGTCGCGTAGTGTGATTCCTCCTCCCTGCCCGTACGTAATTCAGACGGGCACTCGTCAGGGTCAGCCCTGTGGCCGTCTTCACCCTCCGCGTCAGTGCTTTGCGCAGCTCACAGACCGTCTCCGTGCTCAGTACGGCTTTGGCCCCGTTCCACACTGGGCCTAGCGTTGTTGCAGATGTCTGCAGTAGATTTGCTTGATGCTTCGCAATATGTTTCTGCGATTTATTCTGATGTTGACTATATTGCTGCTGGATCTGTTTGCTCGGGTGTTCGTAGTCTAGGATCCTTGCATGTTGCTAGTGTAGGTGCTTGTGCTTCTAGTCTGGGTGCTTGTGTAGCTATTAGCCTATGTGTAACTGAGGCTGACGCGTCGCTCTCCTTCATCCTGGACTCTGGCGAGTCTCAGTGCTTCTTCCGCGACCGCACGACCGTCACACCACTTCCTGGTTCGGTTCCAGTTGCACTAGCTGATCCTACTTCAGGAACAGCAGTTGCCCGCAGCTCTACCACCCGACCCGTGCCCGGCTGCCCCCTTTGGTGTCCTCACTGGTCTCCACATCCCCTCGTTCTCCAAGAAATTGGTGGGTGTTGGAGACCTTCAGGACCTCCACATCGGCACCTGGTTTCCTCCGTCTGAGCGTGTTGCGACCTACTTGGACGGTGCCACTGGGGCTACTCTGGCCACGTTTCGTCGGGAGCCCCGCTCAGGTCTCTTCATACTGCACACCGAATCTCCCTCGGTAACTGCATCTGTTCAGGTAGTTGCGTCGTGCTAATGCCGGTCGCTCTCCCACCCGACAGTCCTGTGGCACCACCATCTTGGTCACCTGTCACTCGCACGCCTCCTTTGTTGAGTGATGCTACCATTCGCATTCACGTCTGTCTGCCTCCCATCATATGTTCGTGCGTTGCATGCGTGTTGTGAGTGTGTGCAAGAATTTGTGTTTTGTGCGGTTTGGTTTTTCTGAGTGTGTGTGTGAATGTTATTTGGCTTGAGCAGATATCTGAAGTGACTCCTCTGCTCAAGAGCTTTCCGAGGAACCAAGTATCGCTTCAATCGGAGCACGAACAAGAAAGTTACGAACGTTGGAGTTCGTATGCTTTTGATATTTGGTTGTGGTGACTATGGGAAGTTGTGGGGTTGACTCAATATGGGGTACAGACTTTTGGGGGTTGGGAAATTCGTCTTTTCTACTGTAGTTGCTGCCAAGTGTGGCCAAGTTGGGTTGAGGTGGATTGTGGAGGTTGGGATAGTGACAAAGGTCAAAGTTGGGTTGCCTATGGGGAAGGAAATTGTATGGCATGGGGTTTCCTTGGTTGGGGACTCTCTTGGGACCTTCCCTCTCGTCCTCCTCATCCCCTCCTACCTGGTTCTATTGCTACTCTAACTTTCTTGTGTGAACTTGTGAGATCATTGTGATTGAGTTACGTTTTCTATGGCAGCATACCCCCTAGTGCGCCGAAGTTCATAACTCGAGTTATACTCCATATTCTGATACTATTCAAATTGGGAAAGATAGCCACGGTCAAGGGCTACAACATACTCGAGTTTGAAAGAATTCTAACAGTGGACCTTTCGTCGACGACGTTTCTTGTGACGACGACTTTTCTGTCCAGAATTGTAGTTGACGATTTTGAGATATTTCAGCCCCTAATCTTCATAGACTCCGTCCTTAATCTCTAACAAGTGGTATCAGAGCTGATTAAGGACCTTGTGGGGAGTCTACTGAAGTGTGAAGACCCTCCTAGACCCACCATGGCCTGTGGGCGTGCCTAAGTGGAGTTCTGGAGGTTGGATGTGACTTCCGCTAAGGGGAAACTCTGCCGAAATTTCGTTGGCGCTGACACTTGTGAAGATTGTGTGGATCTACATTGTGACCAGCAAAAGGGGGAGCTGAAACCTCTGATTGGGAGCAGAGGAGATGAATCAAGGGAGTGGAGATGCAGCTGAGAAGAGGAGTGAGCCGCCACCATCCAAGATTGAAGCTTTGGATGGCTCCAACTATGAGGAATGGAGCGGGCGGATGCGGAGCGCCTTCAAGCGCTACAAGCTGCTGAAAATTGCAATGGGAGAGGAGAAGATGCCGGGGGAAGGAGATGCCCGCGATCGGTGGATTGAGAAGAGCGCGGTGCTGTACGACCTCATCCTCCAATCGGTCAACAACGACATGTTCCAGCACATCAAGGATTTGGTGGAGTTGGATGATTCCGGACCGAAGGCATGGAAGCTGCTACGCGACGTGATTCAGCCCAACACGCTGCCGATGGTGATTGTGTTGGAGAAGGAGTTGGCTGCCCTCTCCATGAAACCGGGAGATGATGTGAAACGGGTCCTTGACAAGATCAAGGACACCTATGCGAGGATGGCAGCGGCGGGCAGCGAAGTGTCGCAGATGCAACAGTGC